ACCCGTCGTTGTTCGATCGAGGTGGAACTCTTCTTTTTGGTGAAGGCCCTTGGCCTTTAAGGGTGTTATTTCGAACTTTTGTCGAAATAGTAACCCGTCGTTGTTCGATCGAGGTCGAAATCTTCGTTTTGGCGAAGGCCTTTGGCCTTTAAGGGTATTATTTCGAACTTTCGTCGAAATATTAACCCGTCGTTACTCGATTGAGGTCGAACTCTTCTTTTTGGCGCAAGCCCTTAGCCTTTAAGGGTGTTATTTCGATCTTTCGTTGAAATATTAACCCGTCGTTGTTCGATCAAAGTCGAACTCTTCTTTTCGGCAAAGGCACTTGGCCTTTAAGGGTGTTACTTCGAACTTTCATCGAAATATTAACTCGTCGTTGTTCGATCGAGGTCGAACTCTTCTTTTTGGCGAAGGCCCTTGGCTTTTATGGATGTTATTTTGAACTTTCGTCGAAATATTAACCCGTCGTTGTTCGATCAAAGTCGAACTCTTCTTTTCGGCAAAGGCACTTGGCCTTTAAGGGTGTTACTTCGAACTTTCATCGAAATATTAACTCGTCGTTGTTCGATCGAGGTCGAACTCTTCTTTTTGGCGAAGGCCCTTGGCTTTTATGGATGTTATTTTGAACTTTCGTCGAAATATTAACCCATTTTTGTTCTATAGAGGACGAACTCTTCTTTTTGGCGATGACCCTTGGCCTTTAAGGGTGTTATTTCAAACTTTCATCGAAACATTAACCCGTCGTTATTCGATCTAGGTCGAACATTTCTTTTCGGCAAAGGCCTTTGGCCGTTAAGGGTGTTATTTCGAACTTTCGTCAAAATATTAACACGTCATTGTTCGATCGAGGTCGAACTCTTCTTTTTTGCGGAGGCACTTGGCCTTTGAGGGTGTTATTTCATACTTTTCTTGAAATATTAATCCGTCTTTGTTCGATCAAGGTCAAACTATTCTTTTTCGCGAAGGCCCTTGGCCTTTAAGGGTGTTATTTAGTACTTACTTCGAAATATTAACTCGTCGTTTTTCGATCGAGGTCGAACTCTTCTTTTTGGCGAAAGCCCTTGTCCTTTAAGGGTGTTATTTCGAACTTTCGTCGAAATATTAACCCGTCGTTGTTCGATCGAGGTCGAACATTACTTTTTGGCGAAGGCCCTTGGCCTTTAAGGGTGTTATTTAGAACTTTCGTCGAAATATTAACTCGTCGTTGTTCGATCGAGGTCGAAATCTTCTTTTTGGCGAAGGCCCTTGGCCTTTAAGGGTGTTATTTAGAACTTTCGTCGAAATATTAACTCGTCGTTGTTCGATCGAGGTCGAAATCTTCTTTTTGGCGAAGGCCCTTGGCCTTTAAGGGTGTTATTTCGAACTCCCTAACTCCTAAATGATAAAATGAAGTTCAAGTACGAAATGAGGTTATATACACAAGTGTATAAATTTTCATTGCAAACTTCTAGAAATAATAGCATTACTATCCTTCACTAGAATATTCATAACTTTTTATACATATTTCAAAATAATAAACAGTTTAAATTTCTGAAAACTTAATTCAAAGGGTTTTATTAAGGAATCTTTACCAAATTCTTTATTGATTTTGAGCAATTCTCTTGTGAAGTCTGGTCAAGTGCAAAAAAAACTCATGTTTCAGCACTTTAAATCTTTCAAAGCTTGCTCCAAAACGCACTAAAATTAACTTGAGCCCCTCATGTCCCCTCCAAACAATCCCAATAAGTCTAAATATAATATATCAACTTATCCAAAAGCTAAAACACAAAGAGAAATGTTGCAACTGAAAGTCAATTTTTAAGTCAAAATTATGAACCTTAAACTTTCAATTTTCATGCAATAGTACCAAAGTGCACCCGAGCCCTTGGGGTTTTAATCCAAACATGAGTACAAGTTTAAATCATCATACATACCTATTGGAACCTTCAAACCATGAATCTGAGCTTATTACTCAAAATGTTAATTTTAGCCAATTCTCTTAATTTAAATCCTCTAGTTAGGAACTAAGGGCTCGTTTGATATGAGAAATAAAGAATAATTAATCTCGGGACTAAATTTAAGAAGAGTTTATCACATATTTGATTGGAAAAAATTACGGTATAATTAATTTCGGGATTAATTATCCCGGGATTGTAGTATTTTTTTATCTTCATGGAAGATGGAATAATTAATCCCGGGATAACTTCTTTCCAACCAAACGATCACTAAGTGTTCCAAATCACTCTCGAACCTTTTGGGACCTGGACCAACTATACATACAAATCATAAAACATTATATGAACCTACTCAGGGTTTCAAATTATAAAACGGGACCCGCGATTTATTTCTGTTATTGCCAATTCTCTCTCTGACTCTCTAGTGAGACCGATTTATTAAATGTCACATTCATACTAATATCTTCGTTCTGCTAACACCATTTTATTTATGGGTATGGGAACAAAATATTTGATTAATTATGCCAAATTATTAAATAAATAGAATTTTTATATATTCACCACTCCAATCACACTAAATTATCTCTATTTTACGCTCATAATGATTCTCAACTTGTGATTTGAAGTGCAAAAAGATAGGGTAAAACTTCACGTTTGAATAACATAGGAAAGTACCACGTGAATTAAGTACAAACATCAACGAACACAAAATACGGTTTAATGGAAAAACAAAATGGCAATGATTAGTGTTTATTCTAATATCGGATAATAATTGAATTTATACGTGATTTTAAGAATACGTGATAATACCTGGCACAAAATAAGAAGATACGTAAATTGATATAGATTATAAATAAAAATAAAAGCAAACCAAAGGAAAAGTATAGATTTGGCCCTCGAGCTAGGTCACCCTCGAACCAAACGAATATTTCACTGGAAAATATGAACAAAGTAACAGAGTATTGAGAGCTTAAGAGAAACGTAGTATATTGCTTTGTATTGCGTAAACGTGATGATGTTAACAAATGATCAGGCCCACTTTATATAGTATGGGAGTCCTACTCTTGATATAATTCTAAATATAGTAAGAAATCCCATGGTTGGCTAATTAATCGGTCTCTTCTTGATGCGTGTCAGGATTCGCACTGTGATCCTCGCCCGATTGCGGATATTTTATCTTTCTGTTGTTCGACTCAATAAGCTTCTCTCGATCTTCATCTTATTCGGTCTCGATCTTGGTCGATCTCAATCTTAATCGGTTTCAGGGCCTCAAGCTCGGCAACCTAACTTTGCACCATAGTTCGATATAATACAAGGCTAATCATTGGCTTATCGCGCTCTAGTCTCGATCAGCCACACGGGCAAATCCGAATTTGACCGTATACAATTAGAAATATGAAAGTGTTAGCATATAGCTAATCGAAACAGAAAGAAAATAAAATTTTGGGCTTTTAATAGGCGTTGGACATAACATTACTATGCAAATCTTGATTTACAATATTGTCAATTATTTTTACTTCAATTTAAAATATAAAATTTGAAACTCTGAAAAGTGAAAACTAATTTGAAGAGTAATTCAAGAAAAATACTCCCTCCGGTCCAAAATAAGTAATTTTTTAGTTGTTTTCACACATATTAAGAAATTCACCTTTTAACATTAATTAGCAATGAAATTGACCATATTAACTTTTGATATCTCTTCACATAAATACTCTTAATACATACTCCAACATTAATTACTCCAAGGGTAATGTAGGAAAAAATAATTAATTCATTATTGAAATCTGGAAAAATCACTTATTTTAGACCACAAGAAAAAAACCGAAAAATTACTTATTTTGAATCGGAGGGAGTAATAGTTTTTTCTCACAAAATTTTAGTTATTTTTCATGAAAGGTCGCTTGGTTTATGAGATAAAGGATAATAAAATTGGGATAAAATGTGAAATTATTTAGTCTCGTATTTGTACAATTTTTTGTTTTCGATATAAGCAATTCAGGATTAGCTTTGGTATTAATTTTATGACATACTCGGGAATAATAATCCCTGGAAAGTTAATCCCGAGATAAAATAATTTTAAATGATAAAACTGTCTTTCTCCGAACCTTTCTTCCAAAGTCCTTTTACAAGGCCAAGTTCCAACGGGAAAAGAAATTCTCTATTATAAAATCAAATACATGATTTAGATTAATACTTTGCATATCTTATTTTTAATCTAATAAACTAAATATTTATCAAAAAAAAAATATGTACACTAAATAATTCTATTAGTATTATTTAATGCTCATATTGTGTTTTTCATATTCCTCGGACTGTGTGTTAAAGGATGCTAAGTTCGTAACTTCTTGTCTGTTAAATACTCCAGACAAATAAAGTTTAAAAAAAAAATATTTTACGTACATAGCAAAAGTATCGTTAAAATATGTGTTGTTAAACATATGATAGTTTAATTAGAATAAGAGCATATCATTAAGAGTAAAATGATAAATTTAAAATTATAAAAAAGAAAAATCAAATGCAAAATAAAATCATTTTTGTTAAGCGTCTATAAAACAGTCATATAAAATAGAATCAAAAGAGTAGCAGAATAAAAAGGGTAAATCAAAGGAGTCATATGAATTGAGTGATGAATTCTAGTTTATTAGAAAAAAAGTGTAACATCACATTTTAATAATGTAAAGAGCAAGGAATTCTTGTTTAACCCTTCATTTTCCTTTCCCGTTATGGGTCTACACCTCTCAAATGTATAATTCTTTCGTCTCAAGTTATGTAAAAAAATTTGAGTAAACATAGAATTTATTGGGAAGGGGTAGGCTGCGTACACATTACCCTTCTCACGTCACTTATGGGATTAAGCAGACGATATAATGACTTGTGCAGCACACATGATTCGGATTATTAGCATCGACAAACCCCTTTGGTTGGGCCATGTATACTTCTTCAGTTAAGGTGCATGCCATGCAGGAAGGCATTATTAACGTCCAGTTGCCGGAGTAACCAGCCTTGAGAAACAGCAAGAGAGAGAACAATCCGGATACTAGTATGTTTTGCAACAGGTGAGAGGGTCTAAATATAGTCAATACCTGGTCTTTGAGTAAACCCCTGAGCAACCAAATGAGCCTTGTATTTGTTCAGACTTCCATCAGCATTCCGTTTCACCCGAAAAATCCATTTAGACCCAACAATATTCGTACCAGAGGGACGTGGAACAAGGGTCACAGTGCCTTGAGCCTTTAAAGCATTAATCTCAGCTACCATGGCAGCATGCCAATCAGCGTCCTTAAGTGCACTCGCCACACTCTTTGGTTCACTCTTAAGAAGAGAAAGATTGGTACATTTAGGTGTATCAACAAAAGCTGCAAGGCAAAGTCTAGTGAGAGGTTTACGAATATTGTTCTTTGAGCGAGTGACCATAGGATGGGCATTTTGAGAAGATGGTGGAGGGGTGAGGAAGGCATGGATTGTGAATGGGTGAATACTGGCAGAGTTGGTGAATCTGCTGCCATGGTAGTTGCTGGAGCACTGGCTATCGGCAAATGTTCATGTTCCTGTACATTGGATACAATGGCTAAACTAGAAGGCAAAGCAGAGGAAGAACTTCGAGGGACTATACTTGAACAACCTTCTGTAGTTGTGGAAGATGGAAAGGGTGAAGGAGAATCTTCGGAAGACGCACCAGCTCTGGGAGAGACAATAGATGTAGTAGATCCAATGGCCATCGGAACAAAATAATGAGGAGCCCAAGCTGTAATAGTATCAGTAGTGACAATATTATTAGTACCAGAACATTGAGAAGAGGGAAATGTTGGGATATATACTATTAACCATGAGTTTGGTTTAGATATAGTATTTATTATGAAATAAATGTTTATTCAGTTTTAATAAAGTTTTAAATAAATATATTAATATTTTGAGTAATCATTTATGAACGTCATAAAATACTCAAAATCTA